AATATTGACAACCGGCAAAGCAAAATTTGGCCCAATTTGTGATCGCAGTTGGAATTCTTTTCTTTTCTTTTCTTTCTTTCTTTCTTTCTTTTTTTTTTAAAGATCTTATTTATTTTCAGAGAGACAGAGAGAGGGAGGGAGAGCGCAAGCATGGGGTATGATAGGCAGAGGGAGAAACAGGCTCCCCACTGAGCAAGGAACCCAGGATCCTATACCAGGACTCTGGGATCACGACCTAAGCTGAAGGCCGATGCTTAACTGACTGAGCCACCCAGGCGCCCCTCAGTTGGAATTCTTCAAACTATATTTGCCATAAATTTTCACAAACTATTCAAGAATTTTTTTAAAAAGTTGCATCGATCTTTAAAATACATGAGTATAGATTCTCTCAAATGATAAAGCCTAGCAGATGTAGTAGGTGAAATTTCCCCAAATGTAGCATAATGATTATTGGCATCCCCTTTTCCATTTGTATCTATTCTGACATTAAAAAAACTCTGTGAATTTAGTAAGTAGTTGTCAATGCATAGGAAATTCAATGGATAGTTTACAATTCTCTTCTTAATTGACTCTGTTAGCATCACTCTACACGACACCCCAAAAATCTTCTTCATGGACCTTCTAGGGTAGTGGGACCCCCCATGTTCTTTCCACCTCCCCAGTTGCTCCTCTTTGCTGGTTCATCTCTCCCTGATCTGTATGGGTCTGAAATCTTACTCTAGGCTCCCTTCTCTCTGGTCAGTGACTTCCTGAATGATCTCGTGGCTTCTGTAGCCATATACTTATCCACCTGCCTAGCTAGCAGGTCTTCTATTGTCTAAACTTGGCATCTAACAGTCACCACCTCAGCCACCACTGCATCCAAACCACCATCATCTCTTGCTGGCCTTCCACATGTATCCTTTGTGCCATCAAATGCTATCCCTACAACTCAATAGGAATGATCTTTCAAAAATGCAGTTGTCTATTGTAGGGTTGAGTTTTCGGTGTACAACAATTCAGATGTATAAAAATGCAGTATGATTTTCCTAAAACTAGACTTAATTTTTACCCTTTAGTGCTCATTTCCATTTTCTAGTGTTATATTATTATTTTTTTTAAAAGATTTATTTATTTCTTTGAGGGAGTGCGTGTGCATGAATGGGGGAGGGGCAGAGGGAGAGACTCTCAAGCAGGCTCCCTGCTGAGCGCAGGGCTGATGCGGGGGGTGGGGGGGCTGGATCCCATGAACCTTGAGATTATGACCTGAGCTGAAATCACAAGTTGGCTTTTCAACCGACTGAGCCATCCAGGAGCCCCAAGTGTTCCATTATTTTTAATGAGTCTGAGTTAAACTCACTCTCTTTCAATTTTCTTAGTGTCTTCTGAGTAAACTTAGTTATTTGAGGTTTCTGACCCTCCTCTTTTCTCCCTGGGGCCACATCCAGGTTGGGAATGGGGTGGGGGGCTTTTGCAGCCTCACAGCATCAATGAAGTTAGTCCTTCCTCTCTGTAGCTACATCTCAGACTTTCACTGGCATCTGCCGAGAGTAACTGCTCTTTAGTCTCTGGTCACTAGGATCTACTACTTCTGCCAACATCTTCCCTTTCTCCTTGGTTCTGGGTTGTCGGGTCCACCCAGATCCTTCTGTGTCTTTAGGCCACTTCACAGTCTCTTGTGGGCTCTTCCCCTGCTGATCTCTGGGACACAGGACAACTCAGATGTTTGCCAAGTTCACCTTAAAAAAGCGTCATAGAGTATGCAACCTGTCTCTATAGAACAAAAAGGCTCTCTCTCTCTGCTAAACCTCAAGTTAAAGAAATGCCCTGAATTACAATCCTTTCCACATAAACTGAAATTTTATTCCTGGCATTTTTCTTAGGTCCATTTAAAAAATGTCAGATTGAAGAATAAAGTGAACGAATTCAACTTTCTGATAATATTCTGCTGCTTTAGTTTTCTCCGAAGTCCTCAACAGAGAATTCTGAGAGAGAAAAACAGAGTTGGAAGCATCATACTTCCTGATTTCAAGCTATATTATGAAGTTAGAGTAACCAAGAAAGTAGGATGTTGGCATGAAAACAGACACCAAGATCAATGGAACAGAATAGAGAACACAGAAATGAACCCAAGCATATATGGTCAACTAATTTTTGACAGGGGCACCCAAAAGACACAAGGGAAAAGGATAGTTCCTTCAACAGATGGTGCTGGGGAAACTGGATATCCACTGGCAAAAAAATAAAACTGGACTCTTCTTACATTGCAAAAAAAAAAAAGCACCTCAAAACGGATTAAGGACTTAAACATGAAACCTGAAGCCATAAAAATCCTAGAATAAGACATAGGGAACAAGCTCCTTGACATTGGCTTTGGCAATAGTTTTTTGGATATGACACTCAAAGCTTAAGAAACTATCAAAAAAGCTTCTGCTTGGCAAAGGAAACCATCAACAAAATAAAAAGGCAGTGTATGGGATAGGGGAAGGTATTTGCAAGCCATCTATCAGGTAAAGAGTGAATATCAGATAAACAATTAATATCCAAAATATATAGGGAACTCACACAACTCAACAGCAAGAAGACAAGCAACCCCAGTTTAAAATTTGGCAAATGACCCAAAGTGGCATTATTCCAAAGAAGACACACCAATGGCCAATAGTAAATGGAAAGGAGTTCAATATCATTGATCATGCAGAAAATACAGATCAAAATCCCAATGTGATATCATTTCAACATCTGCTGGGAGGCATATTATCAAGAAGGCAAGAGAAAGAACTGTAGCGAGGATGTGGAGAAAGGGGACACTTATACACGGTGGGAATGCAAACTGGTGTGGCCAGTCTGGAAAACAATAAGGAGGTTCCTCAAAAAAAGAAAACTAGAACTACTCTCCGATCCAGCAATCTCACGTCTGGGTACATAAAGGAAGCAAAATCAGTACTTCGAAGAGATATCTGTGCTCTCATGTTCACTGCAGCATTACTCACAATAGCCAAGACATGAAAATAACCAAAGTGTCCACCAACAGGTGAATAAAGAAGACGCAGCGTGCCCACACCCACGTACACAATGGAGTATTATTCAGCGATGAGAAAGAAGGGAGTCTTGCCATTTGGAACAGTATGAGTAAATCAGAAAGACATTAGGCTAGGTGAAATACATGAAACACAGAAAGAAAAAAAATGCATTATCTTGTATGTAGATTCTAAAAAAAAAAAAAATCAAATGCATGGAAGCAGAGAGTACAACTGTGGTTAGCAGCCATGGGGAGGTGGGAGGATATGAGATGTTGGTTATAGGGCGCATGGTTACAGTTACGTATGATCACTAAGTCTAGAGATCTAATGCAGAGCATGAGGATTATAGTTTATAATACTGTACTAAATACTGGAAATTGGCTTAGAGAATAAATCTTGGGCACTCACGTTGCATACACACCCAATGGTAACTGTGTGAAGAGAAGGTATGTTAAGTAGCTTGACTGTAGTAATCATTTCGCTGTGTATATTTTGTATCAAATCATCAAGTGGTATGCCTTAAATATACACAATTTTTATTAAACCCACACACTCAGTCCCTGAGATGTTTAAAAGTGTAAGTCATAACAAAACATCAGTAGGCTCTCCTCCCTCCCTATCTCCCGGTCCCTAGGAAGCCACTTCCCCGCCCCATCCCTCCTTTCTCCTTAAGCACAGGGCTGAGCTGCTTACACAGGGAGCCCTGCCTGGCATCCCTTACTTCCCCGACACCATTATCCCCTCAGTGCCCTGCACTCACCAGGCCTGCTGCACATATAACCAAGAGGGAAGCCAAAGTCCCCACCTTCCCCCGCCTTCTATCAGCAGACCATCTGCGCATGCGTCATATGAGGCCATCAAACCAATGGGAATCTGGGCTCCAACGTGTTGTTTCTTAACAGCAAGGGGTTCTGGGCCAGTGCTTGACAGCAGTGGCGAGAAAGTGCCAGAGAGCCACTTTTTTTTTTTTTTAAGCTTTTTACTTGAAAATAATGTGACCGCATAATTGATTGAAACATTAAGATATTTTCCCTTCTTCCCCTATCAGACAAATAGTCGGGCTCATCTTAGTATTTTCCTGCCTAAGGGATTTTCACAGAAGCTGCGTAAGGTAAGCAGCATTTCCAGGTAGGGGAGGAGGGTGCTGAGCGAGTGTGAAGCCTCCAAGAATGTGAAGGATAAGAAATACAGATTCTCCCAGACAGAGGTCAGCAGCGGTGGTGATAAGGTTTCAGAGATGAGGGCTACTTGGAGCATGTGTGGACCAGGTGAGACTCCTAACCTAACCGTTTCCGGGAGCCTCCTGCAGTTTTCAGGTATAGGAGCAGGAGCTCCTGACTTGAAGAGGTCATGAGGTCAGTGAGGAGATGGGTGTCCCAACAGTAACTCTGTGGGTAAATAACTAGTGACCTCAAGCTCTACCTGATCCTTGGGTGGGTATACAATGCCACAGGGCCTTTGCACGGTCTTGGAGAGCAGAAGGTCTGATAAATACTGAGTCTGAATCCCCTACCAGTTTGGTGAAATGGGAGCAGAGGGTGACTGAGGCTGACCAGAAGAAAATGTAATAATGCATTTGGGTTTGTACAACTGAATGGAGATTTGAACCTTCCATACTCTACTTAAGGTTGCAGACATTGACAAAAGGAATGGATATATTTCATTTTTTGCTCCCTCTTATCAAACCTGCACCCTGCCCCACTCCCCCAAACTCCATCCATTTCTACTCCCTTCTGGTATCATATGCCAAGTTCTAGTTAAAGTGTATATAAAGGGAAAAAAGAAAAAAAGAGAGAGAATGAAGTCAGAGAAAATAGAAGGTACGTGGAATATTCTGGAAAGGTTTTTATCTATTTATGAGAAATGGAATGAAATGAAGGTTCTCCCCAAAAGAGAACATTAATTACCTCAAACCTGACAGAGAATAAAGATCAGAAACAATAAACAAAGTATCTGGCACTGCCTTTCCCATCAGGAGGTTCTAACTCTACTGATTTTTACCTGAGAGGCACTGCTGAGAAGAAACTCGTCTATTAATTGGCTTATGAGGACAGTTACCCAGATAGAGAGGCTTCAGTTGCTGTGACAAAATCATTTCATTCAGTTTTTTCTGCAGAATGAAATATTCTTCAGATAACTTTGAAATCTAAAAAGAAGGTCATGTGTCAGATTAAATCAAGGAAAAGAATTCACAGGGCTCCACAGGTACCCTGGGGGCTGGTAAATGCCTGACTGACAGTCCCCCAGACTCTTCTCCAGAACCCTCCCTTACCATGGTCTGAAAACCCAAGGTCTGGAAAAGTCCTCGCCTGGCCAAGCCTCCTCCCCCTTCGTGCTGCTTGCGCGTCTCATATTTTCCATTTAAAACTGCCAAATGTGTTATGCTACTTGAAGCTTTCCATTCTGATCAACTCCTCCCGGGGTTCCTGACACCAGGCTCCTGACCCTGTCCCTCCGCAGCAATTTTGCCTGTAGAAACCCTCTTTTGCCTTGGAGTGTGTTAACCCCGTCTTTTCCTTTCCAGTGTTCTCAGTCTGACTTCAGGCCACTCTCCTCTCCTTCCACCTGGCCCCTCTGTCTGGTCTGCCTCCGGGCTCTGTTACACAGCTGTGCTACTGGACCACATGTGGGGCTCCTGCTTTTTTGCCTTTAGCTTCGTCCCCGTGGAGACTGAAGCTACTCCTGGGGCATTATTAGTTAGCTCCAGGGAGACCGCTTGGAAATGCGACATCTCCTCCACATCTCTGACACACAGTAGGTCAGGATTTGAATCTCCAATCTGGTCTTTAGGGTGAGAAAACGTATGCACCAAGGAAAAGAAAGACCGTATGTGTATTAAACTCTGTATTTCTATGTACTTAAAAAAAAATAGAGCAGGAAGGCACTGGCAGAGCTGTAGGAACAGCCAGACATTGGGAGATGTTTGGGCCACACCTCTAACATGAGAGAGGGGTCCAGGAGCAGCTATGGTGTTTTTGTATGGACTCACTGTCAGAGACAAAATGCAGAGTTTAGGGTCCATGAGAATTAGGCAGTCCCTCTTTGATCTAACTCATGATGAGATCCATCCCTCCATCCCTCTAACCCTCCCTCCCTCTCTTCCTTTTTAAAAGTACTTTCCATGCCCAGCATGGACCCTGATGCAGGGCTTGATCTCACAATGCTGAGATCAAGACCTAACCTGAGATCAAGAGTTGGATGCATAACTGTCTGAGCCACCCAGGTGTCCCTAATGATATTTCTTCCATGATTTTATATGCTATTGACTATTCTGGCAATGCATATTAACTTATAATATGCATTTTAGAAGTCATCTAGTTAAAATCCTTCACTTTACATAAGAGAAAATAAAGGTGCCCATGCACAAAGTGATTTACTGAAGGTTGAATGCCTAGACAGAAAGCAAGATCTGGAATCGGCATTTCCAGGAGCTGCTCGCTGTGGTCTCCCTCCAGAGCACTGATTATCAACGTTCCATACAAAACCCATGAGAAGCCCTAAAGCCACCTGCCTCCTTCTAGAAACAGCTGAAACATGCCTACTCATGGCACAGATATTCTCCAACAGGGAATCTTTCTTTGTGGGTTTTCTCTATGGCCTCATTGTCATGGTATAACACGTAGAGTTTCATCTTCATTGCACATGTATCTGAGTATGGCTATGCCTAATTTTGAAACCTAGAGAGGTCTACTCAAAATTTGGGGCAGAAAATGCATAGATTTCAGAAGATTTATACAACTTTTTTTTTTCTTTAGCTATAATGAAAGATCTCAGATATGGAAATTTGCATTGTCAAATGCCAACATTTTAGTTAGGTGTAGGACTACTGGTCTCTTTACTATATAAGATTTCTGTCATATCTTACATTATTTCTTATGACATATTGTTATAAAAAATTATGGCTATTTGAATAGCAAAACCCTTGAGGCATTACAAAAGAGGTTTGCAGTTTCATAAAAACAGATGAAACAGAGTATCAGTTACTCATGAGCTGTAGGTTTACTTCAGTTACTGTGTGGTTCCCCGAGATTTCTACTAGTAAATCTATTCACATACCTGTTTTGAAAAGATGGCCAAATCACATGCTTCTTTCTCTAAATCTGCTTTCAGGTCTTTGTCATTCTTTGTCCTGAAATTACAAGATTCCTCATGTTTTGTGGGACACGAATACAGATCGTGAGTATTTCTTGCTACTTCGGTCGGTGTCGCAACAATCTTTTGATTTTTAAGAGAAGACGTCCTGTCCTTCCTTACTTGCTGCCTTCTCTTGTAGCCCCGGAATTTGCTCTGAATGAACATGGCTGCTCTATCTTCTTCCTGCATTTGGACTGTTGCTTTGGACCGTCTCTCTTGGGCCATCCCCGGTCTCAGATGGCTGCATGCTGGTGCCTTCTGGGTGACCACTGATGTCTTTTCCTTTTCCTTGCTATCTGCGTTTTGGTGGACTGACTTTTGGCTAAGACTAGGTTCCAATGCTTTTTTAAAAGAAGGCTGCTTTGTCTCATTTTCCCCTGACCAAAGTCTTGGGGAGCTTGGCCTTTCTGACAGGGCCTTCCTTTCTAGATATATTGCTTTGGATTCTTCAAAATTCCTTTCCTCTGCATACGTCTGGTAGTAATTCTGGACCACAGAGTCCTCCTTCTCCACTCTCCTTATCTTACTGTTCTCTTCCGGGTCTCTCATGCACTTCTTTTTGGGGTGTCCTTCTGCCCAAGGGTCTCCCACCAGCTGTGGTTCTCGCTTAGCCTCTTCCCCAAACATGTTATTCATTTTGTTCTTAGTTTGATATTTTCTGTTGTTATTTTCAATGGCCCGAGTGCCCTCCTCTTCAGCTTTGAAAGTAGAAGTCTTCACTACAGATGTACTTCCCTTATGGTTTGGAGCTGGAATGACTATTTCATTAGTACAGACTGCATTTTCTGTCTGTTTCTTCACAGAAGATTCCCTGGGAGAAACAGATTGCATCTGAGTATGGGATACACAACTGGAAATTATTCACTGCTTCCAGCAATAGCTAAACACTACGTGGTGTTGGGACAACAGTCCAAGGGGCGAAACAAGCTCAAAGTAAAAACTTCTCAAATCACGTTAATCAAGTCCTTCCCAAATGTTCTCTCTGGTAGTAGAAGTTGGTGGCCACTCAGATTAATGATAAAGCCAGTTTCAACTTCGGGTGAGAAATATCCTAGCATATTTTCACCCGAGGCATCAAAATTCTAGGAATTTAATCACTTCAAGATGTGTCTTTTTCAAAAGGAAACACCTACAGGGAAGAGAAGTTGTGGAAAATGTGCCTAAACTTGAAACTAGCAAGCCGGGTGTGTTCACTAGGCTGACGTGCTGTATAAGCGCAAAGTCTGCTGATCACAGGAAGTATCGTACAAAATTAAGGGAAGCAAGGTTCCCGCTACTGTTCATGATCATGTAATATGCTGACAAACGTGCACAGCTGTTACTTTACCAGTATTCTTCCAAAATGATTTTCCCTTACCTTGAAGATAACATCTTCTCTACAGCCTTTTTTTTTTTTAAAGCCACATTTTTTTTTTTTTTTTTCCCTTTTGGTGAGGACAAAACCCTCACAAGAGCAATATGGCCATAAAAAGTGTGCTAAGGTACAGTGAAAAAGTCATAACCTGACATGCTACTTGGGGGAGTTTTGCCAAAAACTTTTCGATTTTAGCTCAGGAAAGCCATGGAAGAGTTTTGGTCTTTTGCAGTCTGTTTGTACGTAAGGACCTGTCTTAAAGCTGAACTTGGAAAAAGTTATTGGAAGTCAAATTTCCTAATCCCATTGGCTACTTCCTAGGCCTATGATAGCATCTTTAGGTTTATGTGGGAAGCACAGTAGAGTCTCTGTTACTCTGCCAGGGACAGAGAACTAGGTGGGGTACCAAGAACCCATCATTTCAATGAGTGGCTACGTGTATTTTGAATACTTTGAATACTATGCTAGTATTTTGAATACCTTCAAAATGCCCCCAGAGAATGCCTTTATTAGTCAGAATATAAGTAATGAAAAAAAGATAAGCAAACTATATCACAAAGCTATAGTAATCAAAACAATGTGGTACTGGCCTAAAAACAGACTCATAGACCAATGGAACAGAATAGAGAGCCCAAAGTAAGCACGTGCATTTATGGTCAATTAATTTATGACAAAGGAGCTAAGAATGTACAATGAAGGTAGAATGGTCTATTCAATAAATGGTGTTGGGAAATGAGACAGCCACACGCAAAATAATGAAACTGGATTCCTGTCTTACACTACTATAAAAACTAACTCAAAATGGATTAAAGACTTGAACATAAGACCTGAAATCCTATAACTCCTAGAAGAAAATGTAGGCGGTAAGTTCCTTAACTTTGGTCTTGGTAATGGTTTTGTTTGTTTTTTTTTTGGATTTGATACCAAAAGCAAAGGCAACAAAAGCAAACAAGAACAAGTGGGACTACATAAAATGAAAAAGCTAAAAACCAAAAACCAAACAAACAAAACAAAACAAAACAAAAAAGAGAAAAAAAAAAAAAGAAAAAGCTTCTGTGCACCACAGGAAACTATCAATAAAATGAAAAGGTGACTTACTGAATGGGAGAAAATATGTGCAACTCATATATATGATAAAGGGTTAATATCCGAAATATATAAAGAACTCATGCAACTCAATAGCAAAAAAAATAACCTGATTTAAAAATGGGTAGAGGATCTGAGCAGATGTTATTCAAAGAAGATATGAAAATGGCCAACAGGTGCATGAAAAGGGGCTCAACATTACTAATAACCCAGAAAAATACAAATCAAAATCATGATGAGATGTCACCTCCACCTGTGAGAATGGCTATTATCACAAAAGACGAGAAAACACGTATTGTTGAAGATGTGAAGAAAAGAGAGTGCTTATGCAATGAGAATGTTGTATGTTGGTGGGAATGAAAATAGGTGCCATTACAGGAAACACTATGGAGGTTCCTCAAAAAAACTCAATAGTAATACCAGCAATCCAACTTTCTGGCACTATATTTAAAGGAAACAATGATCTTAAAGAGATCTCTGCACTTCCATGTTCATTGCAGTATTTCTCACAAAAAACAAGAGCTGGAAATAACCCAAATGTCCATTAATGGATGAATGGATAAAGAAGTTACAGTATATGTATACAATGGAGTATTATTCAGCCACAAGAAAGAAGGAAATCCCGCCTTTCATGATAACATGGATGAAATAAACCAGACAGGAGAAGAAAAACACAGTATTCACTTATGTGTGGAATATGAAAAAGAAAAAAAAAACAAAAAAAAAAACAAAAAAAGAAACAGAGAGTTTTGGCTATGAAAGGGTTAGGTGGGGGAAATAGGGAGATTGGTAAAAGGATAGAGCCTTCCAGCTATTCGATGAGTAGGAGTAATCACTGTTCAGTAGAACTGAATTTTGCTAAGGGAGTACAACTGAAATGTTCTCACCAAAAAAGCATCAAAGAGAACTATGTAAGGTGATGGATGTAGTAATGAATTAAATGGGGAAATCCTTCCACAATGTATATGTATATCAAATCATCATGATGCACACTTTAAATATAATTTTATATGTAAATAATTTATAATTTTATATGTAAACCATAAAATTTCTATGTAAATACCTCAGTGTAGTGGAAATTTTTAAAAAGATGAACCAGTTCTTGGGATCTAGCATACAGCATGGTGGCTCTTGATGATACTGTATAATGGACTTGAAAGTTGCTAAGGGAGGTGTTCTTACCACACACAGTTGTAATTACCGAGGTGAGGGAAATGTTAACTAACTTCACCATGGTAATTATTTTACAATATATACGTGCATCAAATCATCATGTTGTATACCTTAAACTGACCCAGTGTTACATGCCAATTCAATCCCAGTAAATTCGGAAAAAAAAAAAAAAAAAGACAAGGGGCCTGGGATTGGGGCTGGAATGATCTCCATCTCTTATAAGGAGATACAACTTTGGCATCTTTCAATCAATTCAAGTTTTATCAATGAGGCAAAATCTACATATTATATCCCTTCCCCTTAATCCCTACCGAGATCCTCCACGTCCCTACTGTACCCTTTGCATATCTTTACAGCAGAGTTAACTCGTGTTTCTAGAATCATGCATTTAGTAGTTATATTTCTTTTCCATGAATCTGTGAGCATCTTAGCTTAGCATAAAGCCTTCTGTATGAATGAATTCAGGTGGATCTACTAATACGTACTTAGAAATATGATATGGAGGTTCAAGAGAAGAAAGGGCCAAGGGCCATGTTTTGAAGATTGGATTACGGCTTAGGAATTAATGGCATATTGGATATTAAGGCCATGGGAATGAATGAAAGAGCCCAGAGATGATGATATTTAGATGTGAAGGAGGATTTAAATATGGGGAGAAGAGGAGGCATGAGCAAAGGATACTTAGAATTAGGAGCAGAAATGTAGAGAGAAGTCTGGCAGAAGCCTAGGAAGAGAAAAGCTGTGGAAGGAAAGAGCGGTCATCAGTGAGAAATGCCAGTGAACTTTCCAATAGGATAAAGAACACAAGAGTGGCCACTGGGTGTTCACTGACATTTAATGGTTCAGTATTTGGACCTGATTAGGTGCAAGAAAGACTGTGAACTTTATTTTGACTCCACAGATTTGGAAAAATGTATAATGTCAAAATGGCATAAGAATGAACATCATTATACCTTTTATTTTCAAAGTTTTTCTTGTAGTCAAATTCCTGATCATAGGTTTGAATGGTTGTTGCTGCTGTGTTTTTCATGTTAACATTTTCTTTTCTTTGTTTCCTGACTAGATGTCCTCTTGCAGCTGAAACATATAAGGTGGGGAGTAGTGCTAATTAGAATAAAGACAAAGACATATTACTTAAGTAATAGAAACACTTTTTTTTTTTTGACCATCAGTGTCAAAGAGGAAAATTAAAGACTCCAAATAGAACATGTTCATTGAAAATACTGTTCATTAAAAAGTATTGTTCATTAACAGGATTCTTCTAGATGACAAGCTATAGTAAGAAAATAACTAAGGCACCTTTTGTACTAAGGAGAGTCTGGGGATGAAACTGAAATGAAAGAGATTGGCTAAGCTGATGAAAAAGACAAAGTGTATTCATTTGCTTAAAATGTGCTGATAACTACTTCGGCTATTTATGGGAGAAAGTTCCTGTTAACTGAGTGTGATGTTTTGGACTTTTTGGGCAATTATCCTTGGAGCCAGATACATTTCAGAATTCAGATTTAAACTTTTTTATTTTATAAAGGTAATTCAAAGCAAATAATATACATCCTGTAACGTTCCCCATGCCAGGGAAGCATTCCATAATGAAAACCATGAATATTTCTCCGGGAAAACTGTATTTTTACCATGGGCGATGAATAAAGGGCTATAAATATTAGGTCATGTTTCACTGCTAGATGAGGTATGATAAACCTTTTCTTTAGTGTTTTACAAATTTTGGAATTGAGGATAAAGAATTTGACCCCAAATTATAGGGATTTGCATTTTGATGTTTCAGTGAGAAGTTAAGGGCTTTAAAATCCCCAAAGACATGAACCATTACGAATGGACAGACCTGCGACTAGAACATGAATCTTTCAAATGTTAGTCAACGATTCTGCCCACCATGTCCGTGTTCTCCAGAAGGCAGGCTGCAAATCCATGGTAGATTAGAGAATCGATTTAGTGGGCCAAACCTCGTGTCTAAAAATGAAGTGAAATAAACCAGAATAGAAAACATCAGAGTGCCTCGCTTGTAGTAGGAGTGTGTATCAGGCTGCAGAGTAAAATATGGTTTTTACTATGGAAGTCCAATTAACGTATTTTGAAAGTTACTGTATTAAACCATGCCAGGCTCTAAAGTTAGTTTCTCCTAGAAAAATGGAAAGTGAAATCTAAAGTCCACTGACACATTTTAATAAAAACATGTGAAGTAAGATTTTAAATATTATTTCCCTAGAGTTAACAGAAAGAAGTGGATGACCTTTAACAAAATGAGATTTAATCAACTGGTCAAAAATTAGGGCAAGTGTAACCTTTGGAATAAAGTAGGAAAAATGTTATTGTCCAAGGGATGTAATAATATGATTCCTGTAATTTGTAATTAATTTGATCACTTGTTGTATCTTGCACAATAGGTCAACTGTGTTTCACTGATGCCTGACAGAAAATTGAAAAATTGAATTATTTTATCTAAAACAAAGCCTTCAAATATTAAAAGTGCCCATCACTAAAACAATCTGATTTAGATGTGGTATAGAGAAAATATCAACATGACAGAGTCTGGAATGAAACACAATAGCTATGTAAAAATGGAGGTTTGTATATATGATTAGATTTTATGTCCATCCCCAAATGTAACATTATGTTTTGTTACATCGGGAGACCACCTAAGTGATTACCTGACTGTATTACTATAGCACTCTCTTTCCTTTTCTCCTGTATTTTTTGGTATCTTCTTGAATCCAAGAATCCTCTGACACAGGCTTGAATCAAAATAAGCTTGTCAATGGCTTCCTTTCGCATTAAATTTAACTGTTCCACATGGTAATATTTCAGGAACACCTTAGAAGAATTAAAATAAAGTACAAATAAAAAGGAGGACACACAAATGTGAACATGTCATGTGCTACGCTTTGCAGAGCAGACTGTATTCTGACTCTTTTTAGATTTTGGACATCACTACTTTTCGCTTCTTTGGCCTGGATTTTGCTGTAACGCTATGGATTTCTATTCTTGAAGGAAACCTCTGTTGGAGAAGGAATACTGTCTAGCAATCGTATGGTTATTTGCAACAGGTTTTATGGAATGGGCCAGTAAGCGTGGAGGGTGTTCAGCTCTTTGACTGAAGTTTTAGCATCATATATTTGGAGCAAAGCTAATTTTTGCGTTTCTTAAAAACTATATTTCCCAAAGTTAAAAAATCTTACAAACCTAGTTGCAAGATAGAGGACACTTACAGGTATAGTGATTCATCCGTCAAACCTTTATTGAGAACTGCTGTTATGTACTTATCTGCTGGGGATACAGAGGTGAATAAGGCAAGGGTGCTGTCCCTCAGGGGCTCACGAGGGGAATAAGGCAGAGCGATGGCCCCAGACGCAATTAACAACATTCTCACCGGACCAGTGGCCACCATCGAGAAAGGAGGGCTGACTTTTCAATCACTGTATAACCAAAATGAATCAGGGAAATACAGGAGCCAGAGGCCTAGAATGGTTCTCATTTAAGAGTTTTCTTCCTCCTTCAGGAATTACGAAGATTTTTTTTCTTTTAATATATTTACTAATAAAAGTCACCTAAAAGAGAGTCAATGGAACACACTAAGAGAGTTACTTCAATTCAAAAGTAAGAGCTCAGTCATGAGAACTGGAAACACGGAAAGTTAGTTCCATTACTTGAAAGCTTGGCATCACAGGCAAACAGTCTAGCATTATAGGTTCTGATGGAATCCAGTTTTAATTTCTATGGGACACTACGTGTTAATATATTTAGTCCATTCTACTGTTGACAATTGATTTAAAATTCAATCTGTTTAAAAAGGTCATCCTTTTATTTCTTCATTTATTTTGCACAGCGTTAGAAATGTTTCTTGTGTTGAATACTTTTATCCATCTTAATGAGTTGGAAAAGGTGAAGTGGAAAAAAAACAAATAGCTTTAAAATGCTACTTAAATACCAAGCAGAACTGGAACTGCAAAGGGCCATTTTATAAGTTAGAACTCTGTTGGAAGTCAGGCATGTGTTTCAGACCATAAATCGTGAGATTTCAGCCTGACGAAATTCATCATTGTGATCATCTCAAAGAATATGGTGTAAATAGGGGCACCTGGGTGGCTCATGGGGGTTAAAGCCTCTGTCTTTGGCTCAGGTCATGATCCCAGTGTCCTAGGATCGAGCCCCGCATCAGGCTCGCTACTCCGTGGGGAGCCTGCTTCCTCCTCTCTCTCTGCCTACTTGTGATCTCTGTCAAATGAAAAAATAAAATCTTAAAAAAAAAAAAAAAGAAAATGGTGTAAATAAAATACACATCTTTTTGGTGCTCAGCATGTCTCCTTACTCAATAGTGAAGGAAATATGGATTACTGGTACCCTCTTTATTTCCTTACCTCCCCATTTTATCATGCTGGAGGGTATCTGAAAAGCCATCCTTTCCCCAAGCTGCAACCTGTCTTACTTCCATATTCAAAATTTATTATGATTTTTTTACTTCATTCTCGAAGAGATTAAGCAAATTAAGATCTCTCAGGTCTCAAGTTCAATACATAAACACAACGATCTCCAAATACATACAGCAAATTTACTAACAACGGTGAATAGTTTGCTCCAGATAAATTTCAAGTTTACAGCAGATGCAGATTTGAGAATTAGGAAGAAAAAATTAGATAATTATAATTCAGATCATTACGATTCTCTGCAGAATATATTCTGTATCTATATTATATGATATTAATATATATTAATGTATTCTGAATATTTACTGACTATATTTGGTGGTAATAAGATAAAATGTGTCAGTATGTTTTTAATACTATCTGAAATGAAGAATTTTTTTGATAAATTTTTGTTTTTTGATAAATTTTCAAGAGAAACTTCTTGAATTTCTTAAAAGAAACCTTTATAACAACAAAGTGTTTCATTTTGCTGAAGAAAACCTTTATAGATTTATAAAGTCTATCTATACTCCCTATTTTAAGCTAGAGATTTGGTAACACAAAAAAGCCGTAATATTTTTAAGTACTGTATAATGTTAGAATGCTCAGTAAAGCCAGCACAATCGTTAATTGTATTTTTCTTAAAAATTACATGAAAACATTACTTTTGTTTTTCCAAGAGCCCAATTATCCAGACCAGCTTTTTCCAAAATGGCGGCGCAGGAGTCAGGACTCACTGGGGGCTCTTCGTTCCATTTGTAGCAGAGAACATGGTACCTTCAAGTGGAAGAAAGGGCTGGTTAGTATTTCACAAAGTTTCCACACCTCAGTAGCCTGGTGGACACTTGACAACTCTGTGCAGGGAAGGAAGAGACTCCCAGACTTAATGCAGGGGCTCCTGCTGGCATTCTCAGAACTCGCAAGTAGACTGACAAAAATTCGGACCCGTCTGTTTGTGTACATTTGAGGACTGTTTTCTCAGTTTAGCGATTACTTTTCAACACTTACCACTGAAATCCCCCCACAAAAACCCCATCACTAAAAAAGAAAAAAAAAATTAGTTGAGTATTTTTTAAAAAGATTTTTATCATTTGACAGAGAGAGAGAAAGAGAGCGAGCACAAGCAGGGGGAGTGGCAGGTAGAGGGAAAGGGAGAAGCAGACTCCCTGCTGAGCAGGGAGCCTGATGTGGGACTCGATCCTGGGACCCTGAGACAATGACCTGGGCTGAAAGCAGACACTTAACTGACTGAGCTGCCAAACCTAGTTGAGTATTTTTAAAAAAGCAAACTTTCCCTGGGTACAAAAAGAGAAGGATGGCAGTGGCAAGAAGCAGAGGGAAAGATTTTCTTCTTCTTTTTTTTTAATCTTCACAAAAATGTTGGAAGCTGATCTTAAAATTGGACGAAGGAGTTAATTCTCTGTGAACCTCCCATCTATCTCACCTGAAAGAATTCTCTGTCTCCTACTAGCTTTAGAGATCAGTTGAAAGATTGCTTAAAGGAGCTCTCCATTTCTCCACTTCCCATCACTGTGTAGCTCCTGGAATCTGATTTAGTCACACAGTAAGGAGGACTCTTACTCCAACACATAAGACGTTTTAGAGATGAAATCTAAAGGGATGTCTTCCATCCTAATCCTAAGTGTTCTTTCTGTAGATTTGGATATCGTTGACACCTTTCTCTGGCTTGAGTGTCCCCACGACTGTATCCCATGTTGTCCCTGGCTTCTTCTCCCTGTTGGTCTCCTGCCATGCCTCACATTTAGACTTGCTGCACAAATGCTAGTGTTCTCCAATGTCCCGTCTCTTTCTAAGCTCTCCCCACAGGGGTCTCATCTACAGGCAGAGTTCTGACTCATCCACTGACCATTCTCCAGTGGATGAGTCCTAAATCTTCCTCTTCTGCCTTCTTTACACCAACTCGAAACACATCACCTCTGCCGGCCTGCTCTACACCTCCCTGCTCATCCCATGGACACTCCAAACCCAGCAAGTCATCACCTTCCCTCTCCTCTGCTAGTTTCTACCCTTGTGAATGGTATCACCTCCTTTCCAAAGGCAATAAAGCTAGAAATCTGTGTGTCATCCTACATTCTTCCTTATTCTCCACTCAGTGCATCCAACAAGCTTAAAAACTGCTCTGAAATCCATTTCTTTCTGTCTATTCCTCCTGCCATTGCTTGACCCTGCTCATCATCTCCTCCCCGCCCCGGCCCTCTGTAATTGCCTTCCAACTGGTCATGTCCACCCTCCCCCAGCTCTGTCTGAACTGTCTTAATAAGATGAAAATCTGATCATGTCCTTTCCTGAATTGAAAGTTTCCAATAATATCCCTAGTTCTAAGCCGTGATGTCAAAAACAGGTGCCTTCAAAGGCTGGGCACACAACATATGTAATTTGGAGAGCGGCAGACATGTAGGAAATACAAAGGTCACACCTGCCAAAGAGCAGTCATTTAAAATGAGCTGACATATATAAAGATGGCATGAAATCACCCTCCTCCTCCGTATCCCTGACTGCTTTTCCAGCCTCACCTTTGGCTAGTTTCCATGGACAGCTCGAGGTCCAGTCATAAAAGCTATTTAAAATTATGCCAAAAGGCCATGTTTGCTCATGCCTCCTGCCTTTGTACGTGTTGTTCTCTCTGCCTGCATGTCCTTCATCCTCACTGCTGGTTCCTTTATGGAAGACTCACGCTTTCGATATTCTAGAAACTCTCCCTAATGTATCTTTTTTTTTTAATTTCATTTTTTTGTGTGTTCCAAGATTCATTGTGTTTATGCACCACACCCAGTGCTCCATGCAATAAATGGCCTCCATAATACCCACCACCAGGCTCACCCAACCTCCCAACCCCTCTCCCCTCCAAAATCCTCAGTTTGTTTCTCAGAGTCCACAGCTCTCATGGTTTGTCTCCCCCTCCCTCATGTATTTTTGATGAATAGATTAACTGGGTTAACTGGCATTCTCTTTCCCTGGGTAAGACGCACCGGCTGGGGTCCACGGCACACTTGGAGCTCACGGGTGGCAGCACTCACTCGTGGGCTCGTGTGCTTCCCCTCCTGTTGGGTGAGCTGTGTTTGCTGCCAAACCTGTTTACGCCTGCACTTGAGGTGACGTGATTCAAAAACATATTACATAAGGGTACCTGGGTGGCTCAGTCGGTTGAGTGTCTGCCTTTGGCTCAGGTCAGGTCCCAGGGTTCCTCTCATCAGGCTCCCTGCTCTGTGGGAAGCCTGCTTCTCCCTCTCCCACTCCCCCTGCTTGTGTTCCCTCTCTCTCTATGTCTCTCTCTGTCAAATAAGTAGAATCTTAAAAAGAAAATCAACTGTTCTTTCATTCACTTGATAAATATTTATTGAGTACCTGCTATGTGCCAGGGACCCTTCTAAGTGCTGGGGATCTGGCAGTGAACACAACAGATGGGTATCCTTGTCCCTGGAGTTGACATTACATTGTATGGTAAGGTACATAATTAGGTCCTTCTTCCCACAACTAGTCTGTGAGTTTCTTAATGTCAGAAGCTCTTTTGTTAATCTTTGGATGAAGATTGGGGTTAATCTTTTTTTCAAGGGCTAGAACATCATGGGTGCTCAATTAAGTGTCTGCTAAAGGACTAATGACCTGCCTCTGGGACTCACTGGGTTAATAACCATTCAGATAGACCAGCTGCTATGGAGGAAAGTCCCCACATACCCCAACATACTATCTTCTGCTTTGCTTTTAATGGGCTAGCTTTATGGTTTCTGTTGTGGGATTCAAGACCACAGCACTGTAGGTAAAAAAATAATTTGGGGAGCTTGGGGCTGAGGCAAGAATAATAATGAAAATAATTATAACTAAACTGTATTAATGACATTTTGTTCTATGAATAAACGCCATATATATTATTTCATTTAGTGCTCATAACCACCTAACGAGTAGATACTGTTCCCATCATCGTTATTTGCAGATGAGAAAGATCAAGGCTTGAAGTTTACAGCAGTTACTCAAAGTCACTTTGAACAAGGTCACACAGTTTGATAGTGATAGAATTGGGGTTTGAACTTAGATTTTCTTTCTTTCTCCCCCATCCCAAAACCTGGGTTTTCTGAATTCAAAGCATGTGTACTTCCCTACTTCCCTACACTACTGCCTTCAGTGAGTCCTGGTTGTGTTAAGAGTTCCAGAAGCTGAACCACAGTGTGTACGTGCCTCGTGGAAAAACAGAGCCCACTTCGGGAGCCTCTGAGTAAAAGGGTTCATTCGAAACAACTATAGTAAAAACCTTGTGCGAGGTAAGTTCATGTAGTGTATCTTCCCCTACGATTATTTCTTTTTCACAAAACAGAAGAGTTTATCTACAACAGAAGAGACAAAGCGTCTGATGAACTTTACATCTCACACGGAGGGTTAGTCAAAGGCTAAGGCAGGACAGAGGAGAATGATTTCGTCCTATTCACACCTCCACGGGGCCTCTGAAAATTGTTCTGCCTCCTGAGAGTCTCTGCCAATTTAGATGACAGATTTCAAATTAGTGACGGAGAAAAGGTTTAGCCTTTTAGTTCTGGAACTTCCTGTATTCAGAATAGCTCTTCTCGTGTTCTTTGTATACTTAGTTTTTTCCCCCTTCCTCATTTATCATGTAGTAATTTGGTATTCTATATAGCATGGGACTTTGAAATACAGTTATGAATTTATTCTCACTTCTGACCTTCTAAATAAGCAACTTTCAACTACAATATCATCAAGAAAATAGGCTTAGTTTTCCTTACTGTCCATAGTGTAAAACCACGAATAGCTGAAACTGTAATTAATCCGGCCTTCAAGGCTCTCTCGATGTAATTTTAACCTGGTCAGTTTTCCCATCTTATCCTCTGCCAATTTTTGTCACTTCACTAATGCCCACTGTGCTAATTCAAACAAATCCAAAACCTTCTAAGCTTTTGACATGCCACACAGTATGCTGAGAAAGACTTTTCCTGTCTTTTCCAGAAACAGCACCTACCGTTAGATTCTAGTTTCAACCTTCTTCCCTGATTCTCTTACGGGCCCTCCTGGAGATAATCTTTCTCTTCTCTGATCTCTTGCACTGTGTATATACCCTTGGATCTTGGTATTTATTACCTTCCACTGCTTATTAACTTTCCATGTCTATGACTCTGGCCATCTTAACTGGATGGTTAATTCTTGAGGTTCAAGACAGTTTTAAAATATGGTGTCCTCTGCAATGCTTAGCGTACTCCCAGCATGGAGCCAGCATGGGTCTTGAACTCAGAAACATGAGATCAAGGCCTGAGCCAAGAACAAGAGTCAGACACTTAACCAACTGAGCCACCCAGGTGCCCCAGCAGAGTACCTAAAGAAAAGGTCACTGAAATGCCTTGGTAATTATATTAATATTATATTAATATTATTTATATTAATTTTTAAGCAAGTTAAACATCAACTCTTCTCCTAAAAAATGAAAAACATGGGATACCTGAGTGGCTCAGTCAGTTAAGCCACTGCCTTCGGCTCAGGTCATGATCCCAGGGTCCTGGGATCGAGGTCCGCATCGGGCTCCTTGCTTGGCGGGGAGCCTGCTTTTCCCTCTGCCTTTGCCTGCCACTCTGCCTGCTTGTGTGCTCTCGCTCTCTCTCTTTCTGACAAATAAATAAATAAAATCTTAAAAAAAAAAAAGAAAACACGTCATATTTTGATTTTAATTTGACCTTTGAAATTTCTTTGTATCAAGTACTTTTAGGTTCTCTGCGTTCACGTACAGGATGGAGAATTTACTGATAGCCAGTAAGAAATTCCAGTATTTTTTATTTCTTAGTTTTGGATATAAAATTGGGTCTGCTCTGTGAGAAGGGAAGTAAGTCAGTGATTGGATGATTACTGTACTTCTGAACCCTACAGTCTGAGCCTTTAAAGTCTGTCTTAAACGATCACTGAAGATTTGCAATTTATGAGAGTTACCATATTTGTGTAATTTGGCTCTCCATCATGAAGAAGTGGTAGGGTTTCCTTTACTTTAAGGTGCTCAAAATCAATACCTTTCTTATCTTTTTTTTTCCTTAATTATAAATCAAAATGAAATATTTACTTATTTATTTACTAGGTTTAAAAACTTATTTCTTAAAAAACAAGCTAGGTAATAATTACAGAATACCTGAATGCTTTCAAAACTTTCTTTTCTTTTTCTTTTTTAAAAAATACCTTTCTTTTCTTTGCCAGGTTTCCAAAGGTGGGGGGTTGAGGCAAGAACTACCACAGATTGCTGAAGATATAATAATTTGCAAAAATAATTAGAATTTTTATTTTATAATAAAATAAAATAAATAAAAATAAAATAAAATAAGTAAGTGAGGGTCTTGGTTATCACAAGTGAAAGAGTGCTTGACATAAGCCAAGATATTGTTTTGTTTTATTTTGGGGGGGCGGTTAGAAACTGTTTAGTTCTTAATCCTAATTTGTACGCTCTGAAAAAGGCCAGAAAATGTTATATATAGGGAATTTCTCAAATGCTAGATTTCACCTAAAAATTGTAATACTTTGGAAAATTGAAACTTCAAGTTTAATAGCTAATAGTAATCACACAATTGATAAATATCAGAAACAGGCATTTGAAATATTAAATATATAAAGTACTGAACCTCTACATCATCACAAATGTATTCCTTAATATAGAGCTACCCTATGACCCAGCAATTGCACTGCTGGGTATTTACCCTAAAGATACAAATGTAGTGATCTGAAGGGGCACGTGCACCCCAATGTTCATAGCAGCAATGTCCACAGTAGCCAAACAATGGAAAGAACCTAGATGTCCATCAACAGATGAATGGATAAAGAAGATGTGGTATAGATATATACAGTGGAATACTATGCAGCCATCAAATGAAATCTTGCCATTTGCGACAACGTGGATGGAACTAGAGGGTATTATGCTTAGTAAAATAAGTCAATTGGAGAAAGACAACTATCATATGATCTCCCTGATATGAGGAAGTGGAGAGGCAATGTGGGGGATTTGGGGGGTAGGAAAAGAATAAATGAAACAAGATGGGATCAGGAGGGAGACAAACCATAGGAGACTCTTAATCTCACAAAACAAACTGAGGGTTGCCAGGGACAGGGGGGTAGGGAGAGGGTGGGTGCTATGGTGAGTGCTGTGAAGTGTGTAAACCTGGCGAGTCACAGACCTGTAGCCCTGGGGCTAATAATACATTATATGTTAATTTAAAAAATAATAAATAAAAATATGTAATATATAGCTTAATTCATTTTCATTAATTTCAATATTAAAAAGGACTGCTTATACCTAATTGAGTCTTTTTGTCTTCTAAATACTGTTATTTACTGTTGTTTTTTTTTTTAAAGGTTTTATTTATTTATTTGAGAGCGAATGAGAGAGAGAGCATGAGAAGGGAGAAGGTCAGAAGGAAAAGCAGACTCTCCGCTGAGCAGGGAACCTGACACAGGACTCGATGCTGGGACTCCAGGATCATGACCTGAGCCGAAAGGCAGTTGCTTAACCAACTGAGCCACCCAGGCGCCCTCACTGTTGTTTTCTAAATACTGTTACTGAGATAAAGTCTCTTTTGATCCTTATCACAATTCCACCGGGCAGTCATGACAGATTTATTAAATAAGAGGAAAAATGAGGTTCAGTACAGGCCAGGGTTTCCCAATCTCAGCACGGGTAACATTTTAGGTTGGAAAATTATTTGCTGTGGGGGAATTTTCCGTGCTATAGGATGCTTAGCAGTATCTTTGGACTCCATGCACTGATACCAACAGCAACCTCCATCCTACCCACTGTCACAACCAAAATGTCTCCAGATATTAACAAACATTCTTCGAGGGGCAAAACCTCCCCCTTCTGGGAATCACTGGTACAGCCCAAGGATCATCCGGCATGAGCACTGAGATGAGAATGCAGACCTTCTAAGTGCTCAGTACAGAACTGATTAGGCCTTTCGATCGTCCTGCTCATGACACGAACCCTATGCAACCCCATCAGATCTCCCAGCGGACAAGAGAAACTCCCAGCCCGTTACCTGCTCTTTCAGTGCAAAATCATTTGCAAAAACAAAATGCCTCCATCCTAGAACAGCTGAGTGATTCTCTTTCCTATTTTGTTCCCTGTAATTCTTCTGATGAATTTCTCTATAAACTGTACTTGGAACCTTGAAAAGAAATCCACGTACCGCTTTATGAAGTTGGAGAAAAGTATCCGATGAGAGTAGCCCAGCCTCCGAATTCTTGCTGTTTCCAGAATTCCAGTGTAGCGCAGCTGTAGGAGAACTTTCTCTTTGTCATATTTTCTTGCCTGACGTTCGTTATTGGGTTTGATGCAACGGACAAAGTGAGGTTGGCCCACCACCATTTTGGATAACAAATCCATCAGGGAATACTGTAATATGCAAGAAAAATAAATCTCCCAGTGTAACATACATATGTAACACACATAAACTTAGAGGTTTGCAAGTCTTTTATTTATTTATTTATTTATTTAAAAATATTTTATTTATTTGTCAGAGAGAGAGAGAGAGACAGAGAGAGATCATAGGCAGGCAGAGTGGCAGGCAGAGGCAGAGGGAGAAGCAGGCTCCCCACTGAGCAAGGAGCTTGATGTGGGACTCGATCCCAGGACTTCTGGATCATGACCTCAGCTGAAGGCAGCCACCCAACTGACTGAGCCACCCAGATGTGGGAGGCCGCAATAAGGCTTGAGACGAGGACCAAACCAGGCCCTGACTTGTGCCCCCTTTAAAGTCCGAATAACCTAATAAAAGGTTTAGGACTGGAAAAGTTGAGTAGCACTGAGAAAGGGTCTGTCCTATGTGTTGTGCGCTCGCCTACGTGACTTCCCACACGCTTGCTAAACAAATGAGAACAATTCGGTTGGGGTCATAAGTTCATGGCTGGTCCTTGCTGCCCTAGTAGAGCTCATAAATTACTTTCAGGTTTGCTGTATCAATACAGAACACTTGTACTGGCATCAGCCATTTGGTGTCACGAGGTCTGCTTATAGTTAAGTGTGAAACTTATTATGGGAACTTGTGGTTGTTTAACTAGACACAGATGTTTTGCTTCTCCTATTGTAATATCACTATATATATGGCCTTAATGCTTTGAATAAACTTAGCACTGTTGGACATCTTCCTCAGTGCTCCTCCTGCCCCCATCTCTCTGCTTCTCGAGTTCTTTTCTTCATCCTCTTACCCTCACGTTCCTGGTCGATTTGTAGCGCCGGCCGCAACACCCAGATGTCCCAAGTCTTTCTTTTTATTATAAGAAAAAAAACCCCTGAAAACTGAATGTTACACCTGTTCACATTAATTCACAGTCAATGGAGAAAAATCCATATTAATGAAAATTTTATTTATAGCATATTTTTAAAAACACAGATCTACTCAAAAAAATGTAGAGGCATTAACTCAGAACTTAGCTATCAAAAGGTTGCCTGATCCAAATCGGCAAAGAAGAAGTCAAATTATCACTCTTTGCAGATGATATGATACTATATGTGGAAAACCCAAAAGACTCCACTCCAAAACTTCTAGAACTTGTACAGGAATTCAGTAAAGTGTCAGGATATAAAATCAATGCACAGAAATCCGTTGCATTTCTCTACACCAACAACAAGACAGAAGAAAGAGAAATTAAGGAGTCAATCCCATTTACAATTGCACCCAAAACTATAAGATACCTAGGAATAAACCTAACCAAAGAGGCTAAGAATCTATACTCAAAAAAGTATAAAGTATTCATGAAAGAAATTGAGGAAGACACAAATGGAAAAATGTTCCATGCTCTTGGATTGGAAGAATAAATATTGTGAAGATGTCTATGCTACCTAAAGCAATCTACACATTTAATGCAATTCCTATCAAAGTACCATCCATTTTTTTCAAAGAAATGGAACAAATAATCCTAAAATTTATATGGAACCAGAAAAGACCTCGAATAGCCAAAGGAATATTGAAAAAGAAAGCCAAAGTTGGTGGCATCACAATTCCAGACTTCAAGCTGTATTACAAAGCTGTCATCATCAAGACAGCATGGTACTGGCACAAAAACAGACACATAGATCAATGGAACAGAATAGAGAGCCCAGAAATAGACCCTCAACTCTATTGTCAACTAATCTTTGACAAAGTAGGAAAAAATGTCCAATGGAAAAAAGACAGCCTCTTCAATAAATGGTGTTGGTAAAATTGGACAGCCACGTGCAGAAAAATGAAATTGGACCGTTTCCTTACACCACACACGAAAATAGACTCAAAATGGATGAAGGACCTCAATGTGAGAAAGGAATCCATCAAAATCCTTGAGGAGAACACAGGCAGCAACCTCTTCGACCTCAGCCACAGCAACATCTTCCTAGGAACATCGCCAAAGGCAAGGGAAGCAAGGGCAAAAATGAACTATTGGGATTTTATCAAGATCAAAAGCTTCTGCACAGCAAAGGAAACAGTTCACAAAACCAAAAGACAACTGACAGAATGGGAGAAGATATTTGCAAATGTCATATCAGATAAAGGACTAGTGTCCAAAATCTATAAAGAACTTAGCAAACTCAACACCCAAAGAACAAAGAATCCAATCAAGAAATGGGCAGAAGACATGAACAGACATTTCTGCAAAGAAGACATCCAGATGGCCAACAGACACATGAAAAAGTGCTCCATATCACTCGGCATCAGGGAAATACAAATCAAAACCACAATGAGATATCACCTCACACCAGTCAGAATGGCTAAAATTAACAAGTCAGGAAATGACAGATGCTGGCGAGGATGCGGAGAAAGGGGAACCCTCCTACACTGTTGGTGGGAATGCAAGCTGGTGCAACCACTCTGGAAAACAGCATGGAGGTTCCTCAAAATGTTGAAAATAGACTACCCTATGACCCAGCAATTGCACTACTGGGTATTTACCCTAAAGATACAAACATAGTGATCTGAAGGGGCATGTGCACCCGAATGTTTATAGCAGCAATGTCTACAATAGCCAAACTATGGAAAGAACCTAGATGTCCATCAACAGATGAATGGATAAAGAAGATGTGGTATATATACACAATGGAATACTATGTAGCTATCAAAAGAAATTAAATCTTTCCATTTGCAATGACATGGATGGAACTAGAGGGTATCATGCTTAGCGAAATAAGTCAATCGGAGAAAGACAACTATCATATGATCTCCCTGATATGAGGAAGTGGAGATGCAACATGGGGGGTTAAGGGGGTAGGAGAAGAATAAATGAAACAAGATGGGATTGGGAGGGAGACAAACCATAAGAGACTCTTAATCTCACAAAACAAACTGAAGGTTGCTGGGGGGTGGGGGGTTGGGAGAAGGGGGTGAGGTTATGGACGTTGGGGAGGGTATGTGCTATGGTGAGTGCTGTGAAGTGTGTAAACCTGGCCATTCACAGACCTGTACCCCTGGGGATAAAAAAATATGTTTACAAAAAATAAAAATTTAAAAAAAAAGTTGCCTGTACATTCTTAAGGCAACTTTAATTAATAGATAATATTACTTTTCATATATTGGGGCACCTGGGTGGCTCAGTGGGTTAAGCCTCTGCCTTCAGCTCAGGTCATAATCCCAGGGTCCTGGGATTGAGCCCCGAGTCAGGCTCTCTGCTCAGCAGGGAGCCTGCTTCCCTCTCTCTCTCTCTCTCTCTGCCTGCCTCTCTGCCTACTGGTGATCTCTGTCTGTCAAATAAATAAAAAAAAAATCTTTAAAAAAATTACTCTTCATATAATTTGTTTGTAAGTAATTATATCCCTTCATGGAAGCTTGCTGATATATAATATTAAGGCATATGACTTAATTTCTTGCTTATACATTAATTTCCTTGTCTAATTCCTTCTTTATAGAAAGTATGACAGTAAACCCTTCAAGGCCTGTCAGAATCATCTCCTGGGCTAACAAAAGAAATGAGAATTGAAAGCAGTTTACTATATAGGATGTAAGAGTTACAAAAAGAAGCAAAGGCGTTTAGTATTCTAATGTGCTCTAGCTTGATAATTTTCTTATTTATTTTAGAATTTTCAAAGTCACATAGATAGGAAAAATGTGTGTTTACCAATGGCTTATTAAAGTGGTAACCGATGACAGGACAACTAAGTTCACCTAATAGGGGTGAACACAGTTCACCTAAAAGGGGAATCTTAGAAAATGATGTTGCAGAGCAGCACTGCTATTCACTGGCAAGAAAACGAATGTGTGAACAGAGACAGTTGGTGTTGGTTGGATCTGCTTTTAGTGTTGGAAACATAGAAGCCTATGGTTACAAAGCCAGAGGAAGCCAAATATGGAATTACACAAATGACAAAGCCTTGGATTTGCTCAGCTTCTTCTTGAGCACTGAAACTCGGATGTGATCCTCTCACAGCTGGGCTTGCCACTTGGGAGCCCCTTTTGAACAAAACATTATAGGGGCTCCTGGGTGACTCAGTGGGTTAAAGCTTCTGCCTTCGGCTCAGGTCATGATCCCAGGGTCCTGGGATGGAGCCCCGCATCGGGCTCTCTGCCCGCTGGAGAGCCTGTTCTCCTCCTCTCTCTCTACCTGCTTCTCTGCCTACTTGTGATCTATGTCTGTCAAAAAAAAAAAAAAAAAACTTAAAAAAAAATCATTATATACTATGTGGAATTATCTTCCATCACTTTTCACTTCAGCTTGAGGAGGAAAATGATTTTACGAACTAATGTTTTAAACACACGCACAGTCTTGGACGCCAGCAACAGTGGACTGATGATGGTCTTGGATAACTCACTTAAAAAAAGGGAGATAATCTGTCTGTAAGTACACTTGCTAATTTAGCTCTGCTGTGGTCTTGCTGGAAGGTACCAGCAGGAAATGTGAGATAGTAAGCATATAAAGGTACTATGCGCTACTCAAAGATGATTAAGCACACACTCTCTGCTATGAGCTTACGACTTGAAAAAGTATTTAATAAAACCACCCAGCTATTTTGAAAAGCATTTCATGATTCTGTTAGAAAACTGAATTTACTCACTGAACGCTTATAGTAAATTTAGCCTAATTTCCTCCCCTTCTGCCTTAAGTTATATTGCTAATAATTTCCAATTTTTAATTGGTATTTTCTTCATTTTCATTGGCTGGTTAATATGATGTTATTAACTTTTAAATTGTTTTTAAAGATTTTATTTATTTGAGAGTGAGCGAGTGAGTGACAGCATGAGAGGTGGAGAGAGGCGCGGAGGGAAAGGACCCCAAGATCATGACCTGATGGAGGCAGACATTTAACTGACTAAGCCACCCAGGTGCCCCAATAAGATTTCATCTGAAGAGATAAAGAAGAATGGACACTAATAATGAGGGCAGGGGTATCTAGAGTTCTTCAGAGAACAGAGGAAGTAAAATATTTCTTATCTTCCTTTTCTCCCCTATTGTCAGGAAGAAAGGTAAGATAAGGTCACTTTGACCTCATGCTAAGGACACAGTGGCTGACTTTCCTGGCATGTACTATGCTTCCCTGATATCCTTTCTTCTTGCCCCACACCTATACCAGTTCTTCTTTTGAGGTTTTCATCTTGTCTATGTGCAGGGAGATATGGAATGGACCTGGATGCTCAGCTTTGTCCGATCTGCCCACCCAAAGATCATTTAGGAGTGGGAAGAAGAAGTGGTAGGTATTTATCATAGCACTGAATTAAAAAACCTGTCAGGTTTTTTTTCTAGTGGAAAGTGTTTGGTTCTTTGGATGAATCTTAACCAAAGCAGAAACTCTGATTAACTTAGCATGCAATAATTTTATAGATAAAATATCAAAGCAAACCAATCCATGGGTTTTTGACAGTACTCCCTACTATGTTCTGTATCTAACAAATAGTAAACGGAATACAATGAGAATTATCTTTTGCTAATAGTACTGTGATACTTATTACTAGCTTTTGATTTGTAACTCTCATTTAAAATAAATAACAGGGGCATCTGGTGCCTCATTCAGTTGAGTGTCTGTTTTTGGCTCAGGTCATGATCCCAGAGTCCCGGGTTGGAGCCCCGTGTTGGGCTCCCTGCTCAGCAGGGTGTCTGCTTTTCCCTCTCCTCTTGCCCCTCCCCCTCCTGTCTCCTCTCTCACTTTCTCTTTCTCAAATAAATAAATAGAATCTTAAAGAAATTAAAATAAATAAATAACATTCCTGGGGTGACTGAATGGCTCAGTTAAGTCTCCGACTCTTGATTTTGGATCAGGTCATGATCTTATGGGTCATGAGATCAAGCTCTGCATTGGGCTCTGTGCTGGGCGTGGAACCTCCTTAGGGTTCTCTTTCTTCATCTCACTCTGCCCTTCCCTCTGTCTGAAATAAATAACATTCCTAAGCACAACACACCATCATTTAATAACTTACTCTAAAATATGATGCCACTGTTTGTGTCTTCATGTTGGTTGTCTCTATGGCATGACGTGTGGCTTCTCCACTTTGATCCTACAAAGACCAAGAAAGACAGTGATGCTTCAGTATCCACTGTACTCTATGATCTACAAGGAACCCACGGAATTTCCTTCGGGTTTTCATGGTCTATGCTTTCAAATACATAAAATAACAAAAGGTTAATATTTTTGCTTAGGGTAATTGTTTTGTCAACCCCACTGGAATTTTAATTGGTTGTGCAAGGAATGTGAACTTAACTAATATATTTTTAGTTGGTCTTAGTGTAACATTAAAATGAGCTATAAAGGAAGGGTTAGGAATGTATCATAACTGCATGATTCTTTTAGTGGCTAGCAGTAATATGAACATAACATAGCTGTTTAAGCAGAAAAAAAGATCAAAGGGAGAAAACCTAATAAGTAAAATGCTATTTACTTTTAGGAGCACACAAACACTGTTGTTGTCAAGGTTAGATTTTTAGACTCACTGTCATACAAAATGCATGTTCTTACCTTGGTCAAGTTGATTGATTTTTCTGAAGTCCTCATTTGATAATTTATTAAATTTCCAGTTTTAGAATGTGGCAGATTACCTATAGGAATGTGGATGAAATTAACATACATTTTAGAATTCTTAATCACTAAAAGACTTTCCCCATTTAGTTAAGTATTAAAATAAACATTGTTGATGTCATAATAGTTATCCTTGGTTAAGTATTTATGAGAAATTTAAGGATAAAATAATATTACAAAATAATTTTAAATAAATTTCAAATTCAGAAAAAAAACAGTTTGGAGCTTAGAAAAAATAGAGGTAAGTGTTGGAGTTCCTTTAATTGCTACAAGATATGATGATATCAACTAATTTGCTTTGTGTGTGTGTGCACGTGTATGTATGCATGTATGTGTTAAATGGATCTGAGATTTTCTTTAATGCAAAGGTACACTTTACGATGGGCCTTAAAAATCGCATGGATTATTAATTCATATGAAATGGTTATAAGAAAATCAAGAATGGTTGAAAGCAATGGATATGTTCAATCTAACATTCAGAAATATGTGCCTGTTACTAGGGCTACTTAAATGTGCACAACCCAAGGCCTTGAAAATATTCTGGTGTAGTGAAAAATTATGGTCCCAGAAGCCGGGAAGACATGGATTTGAATACTAGCTGTAGTACTTAAATTGTGTTGCCTGTGGATCATTTACTTAGTCCCTGAGTTGCATTTTGAAACCATATAATGGTGATAAAGTTGCCTGCCTCACAGAATTTTGATGACATATGACAGTATGTCAGGTGCATGGTGCATGCCTGGAAATGTTCATTCTTATTCTCTCTTGTCCCACACCTCACCAAGCACAATAAACAACCAACCCACAATCCAAGAGTTCATCATTCCACCAGTAATGTTCAAATATATCTCCAGAATTCAGTATCACTTCAGAAAGATTATTTCTTTTCATTCTCATTCTTTTAGGTGAGAAGTAGAGATGACGTGTTTTTTGTTTGTGTATTTTTTAGAGTAGAGAGTGTTGTGTGCATGCCAGGGATGGGGTGGGGACAGACGGAGAGGGAGAGAGAATTTTAAGTAGGCTCCATGCCCAGTGCAGAGCCTGATGCAGGGATCAATCTCGAGACCCTGTGATCATAACCTGAGTCAAGATCATGAACTGAGCTGAAATCAAGAGTCAAGTGCTTAACCAGCTGAGCTACCCAGGTGCCCCAAGGTGACATGTTTTTGACAAATCCTTCACATTCTTTGTGGTGGTGAAAGCTGCCTCTGAAGTGATGATGCAGGTGGGACCCTGCCTGGGATGCAGCTAGCAGTGCCTCTGCTGTGCTGTTGTCCCCCCTTCCTCGTTATCAGGAAAAGTGCTGTGATGCATGTGCACACTGGCTTTCATGCTGGGCTGCACACTGGACTGTTCACTCTTCAGCTGTGAGACTTACTGTAGGCAGCAGAGTGGACAGAGATAGTAACACATGGTATTCAGAGGGGCAGCTGTGGACTTTCACTTTTTTTTTTTTTTTTAGGGAAAGTTTTAGAAAAAATTACCAAAATCACTACAGACTAATACAAAGGACTAGTAGCACATTAATTAGAATAAACCCAGTACTTAATAGATGCCATTACTTAATATTAGCCAAATAAGAACTAAAAATTTAAGTTTCTCTGAAAACTGAAAGACTAGAGGAAATTTACTAAAGGATTAATAATTTCAATGTAACAAAATTTATACACTAGTCATCAAATTCTTTAACAACAAAATAAATGAAAGCCTTCTAAAAATTCATTAATGCATATCAACAGGAACTAAAATTAGCATAGATCTTAATTTCAGAAAATATATCCACTTTGCCTTTATAGCTGACTGATGAACAAACCTGTAATAAACCAAGGTAGTGATGAGAGCTACAAGGAACTGTAGTACATTTCCTCTTAATAATGGCTGAACTGTATTTCATATTTTAAGTCATACGTGCAACAGGTTATCTCAGAATCTTGGAGACAGTGTAATATAGGATTGAAAAACCCAAACTTTCAAGCCCACTTCTAAGACTTCCCACAACGGCAACACTGGGAAAGTTGCTGAACATTTCCAAGACTCAGTGTCTCATCTGTAACAGTAATTCCTCCTCAGAGTGTTGCTATTAGGAGTAAATAAAAGTAGTCAGCACAGTGCCTAACACATTGCAACTTCTAAACAAATTCATGAAAAAAATAAAAAAATAGGGGCGCCTGGGTGGCTCAGTAGGTTAAGCCTCTGCCTTCGGCTCCGGTCATGATCTCAGGGTCCTGGGATCGAGCCCCACATCGGGCTCTCTGCTCGGCAGTGAGCCTGCTTCTTCCTCTCTCTGCCTGCCTCTCTGCCTGCTTGTGATCTCTCTCTCTCGTTCTGTCAAATAGATACATAGAATCTTTAAAAATAAAAAAAAAATAAAAAAAATTAACACATTTATGTATTTTTGTTGTTGTCATTATTATTATTATGTTTGCATATCTAGGTGAATATAAAACCCAATGTCTCTGATAGCTTTGAGATTTGGAGTCACTGAAACATCTTTGATTAGGAAATTCTCTTTTCCCTGGCTAATGAAACATGGTTTTGCTGAGTCAGGAGACAGAACATAGTATTGAGAACCTGGCTGCATATTTTATAAAGGTAAAAAACATGACATTAAGTGCACAGATGCAGTTGGTGGATATAGAAAGAGATGACAATTGTTAAAGTCAAAATTGAAGACATTTGTTTCTGGGCAGGATAAAGCAACACAGACTGGATTAACTGAATGACTAAAAGAAAAAAAAACAACAAACAACCATACAATATATATGAGGCAACAGTTTTTCTTCCTTTTCATTTTTTATTGTAAAACTTACATATCATAAAATTTAGCATCTTAATCATTTATAAGTGCACAGGTCAGTAGTATTATATACATTCATAATGTTATGCAACCATCACCACCATACATGCCCATAACTTTTTTCATCTTGTAAAACTGAAACTTTATACCCATTAAATACTGGCTCCCCATTCCTCCCACCCCCAGCCTCTGGCAACCACCATTCTGCTTTCTGTCTGCATGATTTTAACTGCCCTAAGTACCTTATTCTGAAGAATCATACCATATTTGTCTAGGAATAACAGTGTTTATACATTGTGCATCAAACAGTACAGGACACTGATCCCTGAATGAGGGGAAACAAATGAAGTGAGCCCTATGAGTATCCCAGCTTTCTGTCTAAAGAGATTTACACTGCAAGGAGGGGAACTCAGGTGAAGACTAGGGAAAATAACAGATGTAACCAATAGAAAACACGTCAAACCATAGAGTCAGTCAAACCCAACATATCAATAAGCACATTAAATGTAAATGGTTTGATCACCTCAATTAAAAGGCAGAGATATTTAGAATTTAAAAAGGCCCAACTACATGCTGTTTACAAAAAAAATCCCCTTTAAATACAAACAAAAATAAGATGAAGTTGAAAGTATAAAAAAAGACATACCATTCAACCACTAATCCTAAGAAAGTTGGAATCTCTGTATTATCAAGCAAAGTAGATTTCAGAGCAAAAACTATTACCAAGGATAAAAATAGTATTAATAAAGGGGTCTGGTCATCAAGAAGCCATAATAATAATTCTAGGGACACCTGGGTGGCTCAGTGAGTTAAGCCTCTGCCTTCAGCTCAGGTAATGATCTCAGGGTACTGAGATTGAGCCCCGCATCAGGTTCTCTGCTCAGCAGGGAGCCTGCTACCCCCTGCCTCTCTGCCTACTTGTGATCTCTCTCTCTCTCTCTCTCTCTCTGTCAAATAAATAATAAGTAGAATCTTTAAAAAAAAAAAAGAAGCTATAATAATTCTAAATGTTTATGTTTCCAATAATCTTAAAAATACATGAAGTGAACACTGATAGAAATGAAAGACAAAATAGACAAATTAGATTATAATCAGATATTTCAAAACTCTTCTCTTAGTAACTGGTAGAACCAGGAGAGAAAAAACCAGTAAGGATATAGGAGATTTGACCAATACTATCAACCATGTTGACCCAATTGACATTTATATAATTCTCCATTCAACACAGTGAAATACACATTGTTTTTAAGTGTACATGTAACATAAAATAAGATATATCATATTCTGGGCTATAAAACATGTCTCAGTAAATTTAAATGGATTAAATCATACAAAATATGCTTTCTGAACACTATGGAATTGTATTACAAGGCCACAACACAAAGATATGGAAAATCCCAGTATTTTTAGAATTAAAATTTAATATTTATACATAATCCATATAAGTACTTACATTAGAAAAGAAATGTTTTCTTAAATCGACCTATGATCTCACCTTAGAAATTAGAAAAAAGGAGACAAAATAAAACCCCATGTAAACAGACGAAAGGAAACAAGAATGAACCCCCCCCCCCGCAAAAAAGAAAGAAAGGAGGGAAAAAAATTAACAAAATAGAAAGCAATATCAATGCAGAAAAATCAGTGAAACTATAAACTATATGCTGGCTCTTTGAGAAAATCAGTAAAATTGACAAATCTCTAGAAAAATCTATCAAGAATAAAGTGAAAGAGGACACAAAAGATTCAGATCAGGAATGAGAGAGCGGATAAAACTCCAAGATCTACAGATATTAAAGGATAATATAAGGGAACACTATAATCAAAATTATGTCAATGAATGTGACTACATAGATGAAACAGACAAATTTCTTAAAAGATACAACCTACTAAAGCTCATTCAAAAAATTAGATAATTAAATATTCTAATATTTGTTAAAGAAATTGATTGAATTTGTAATTCAAAACCTTCTCACAAAAAAAGCCTTCTGTCCCAGATGGCTCCACTAGTGAATTCTACAGAGGAATTCAGAAAGAATTAATACTCTACTTTTCCTGGAAGCAATACTTCTGAATTCATTCTATGAGGCCAATATTACTCTGATCCCAACATTAGAAGAAAATTAGAAGAAAACTATAGTCCAATATCCCTCATGAACACAGATACAAAAATTCTTAACAAAACATCAGCAAATTTAATCTAGCAATACATGAAAGTCCAAAGCATCATGAGCACGTCACATTTTTCCCAGGAATAAAAAGTTGGCATAATATTAAAAAATCAATCAATGTAACTCATCATATTTACAGATTAAATAAATAAATGAATGATCATTTCAATACATGCAAAAACGCATCTGACAAAATTCAAATATGCATGCCTGGTAAATACTCAGGAAGCTAGGAATAGAACTCCTCCTCCTCCTGAGAAAGAAGGTCTCTGAAAACCCTACAGAGAACATCCTATTTTCTGGGGAACAACTGAAAGCTTTCCCCCCAAAATGAGGAATAAGACAAGAATGTTCATTTTTAGCACTTGTACTCAATATTGTGTTGGTGATTCTAGCCAGTGCAACCAGGCAAGATGAAGACATAAAAAGTAAACAGAATGGAGAAGAAAGGGGAAACTCTTTTTTCACAGGTGACATGATAATCTATATAGAAAAATCCTATGGAATTTACAAAAAAAAGAAAGTTACTCTAATAAACGAGCTTAACAACACTGCAGGGTGAAAGATTAATACACAGAGATCACCTGGACTTCTATATACTAGCAACAAACAATTTGAATTAAAATTACAATTTATAATAGCATAAAATGTGATATATAAGCAGATAATTTGACAAAGATATACAAGTCGCACACACTGAAAACTACAAAATATTACTGAGAGAAATTAAGGAAGACAAATAAATGGAGAGCTATATTGTGCTCCCTGATTGGAAGACCTAATATTGTGAAGATATCAATTCTCCCAAAATTAATCTATAGCTTCAGTGTATCCCAATCAAAGTCTCACCAGGATTTTTGGTGGAAATCAACAAGCTTATTCTAAAATTTATATGGAAAAGCAAAGGAATTATAATTGCCTTGACAGCTCTGAAAAAGAAGAGTTGGATAGCTCATACTACCTGATTTCATTTTTTTATAAAAATTAAACTACAGTAATCAAGAAGTGTTACACTGCCTTAAAGATAGACAAATATCAGGGACACACAATAGAAAAGTCTAGAAGGAGACCTACATGTATATAGTCAATTGATTTTCAACAGGGCGCCCAAGCAATTCAATGGAGGAAAGAACAATTCTTTCAACCAGTGGTGCTAGAACAAATAGAGAAGGGTCAGGAGTGGGGATGGGAGGGATTCCAGAGTCATGAGGAAACATCATCTGGGGGTGATGAATATGTTTACTACTGAATGTGGTGATGGTTTTACAAGTATATATGCCTGTCAAAAACGTATCACAGGGGCGCCTGGGTGGCTCAGTAGGTTAAGCCTCTGCCTTCGGCTCAGGTCATGATCTCAGGGTCCTGGGATCGAGCCCCGCATCGGGCTCTCTGCTCAGCGGGGAGCCTGCTTCCCCCTCTCTCTCTGCCTGCCTCTCTGCCTACTTGTGATCTCTCTCTCTCTGTGTCAAATAAATAAATAAAATCTTAAAAAAAAAAAAAAAGTATCACATTTTACTGTCTAAACATGTCTTTTTTATTGTTCAGTTATTATCTCAATAAAACTGTAAAAAGAAATGCAAAATAATAAAACAAACTCCAATAAAGAAAAATAACCCAAACTACAGTTTTTTTTCTACTTAAAAGCAAATGCAAACATGTATATGGTTGGGTGGAACAAAGGCATGTAAGTTTTTAACCAATAAGGCAGAGCTAACTAAACCTATAGAGCCTTAAATACTAACCCAAAAGCTGTCCAGTCCTGAAGCAGAGGTCACTCTGAACTTTTCAGAGGGGAGCATGTTTTTCTAGTAAGTAGCTAAAATACCACCCTATTTTCTGGTTCGTTCTACAGACACTTTTCTTTAACGAAAACCTAGTTTGTTTATACTCACTTTTACATGTTCTTCAGATAGTTTGGGCAGAATGTTTTAAAAAAAAGCATATTTAGTGAGCTAAAAACAAACCAACATAAAAAATTGAGACTTACACTCATGAAAATCACAGTCAGTAACTATAGGATTGGGCCCAAGGAAGTTGCCTTAGCTTACCTGTTTTTGTTAGAGGGTGATTGACGAGTTGGCGAATTACACTGTTTTCTGATGACCTCAAAAGGAGCACAATATCTGTTGGAAGAGTGTCTCTATTCTTAGCTAAGAACCCACTTACGTTATAGAGTACCTGTTGATAAAGTACATTTCAGTGTCACAGTCAATGTCATCCTCATTGTCATCATCACCATCAACAGTGGCAGGGGCAGAACCATCAACAGGTATTTACTGAGAACTTCCTCCGTGCTGAGTGACAGGTATACAAAGATTTATAAAGGCAGTCCTTTACAACTTGGTTGGAGGAGCAAACTTTTCCATGTCTACAGTATTTTTTGTCAGAAAAAAATCTGTGTCTCACTAATTTTATTTGGGTTGAAATCATGGTTTGATTCTTCTCACTTATTATGCTGGAAATTTGGTATTGTTTCCTTTCTCTGTTTGGAGGGTAGAGGGTGGCATAAAGGAGGCACCTGAGGCCACCAGGCATTCTCATTTGCATGATAACTGAGTCATGCACAGTGAATCGGCCATTACAGATTTTCGTCTCAGTAAGGAGTATGGTCTAAGTACATTATGAACATTCACATTTCTGGCACTTCTAAATAATTTTAGGACTTTCTAAAGATCAACGTAACCCAAAGATTTCTGTAGGATGATCTAATATGGTTTTTGTTATGGGTTGAATTGTGTCCCTCCAAAATTAATATGTTGAACTCCCGATCCCAAATGTGACTGTATTTGGCTAGGGTCTTTAAGGAGGTAATTAAAGTTAAATGTGGTCCTAAGGGTGGGACCCTAATCCCATAGGACTGGTATCCTTGTAAGAAGAGAAAGACCCACTGGAGATCCCTTTCTCCTTCTCATGTACTCAGGGAAAAGGCCACAGGAGGACACTGAAGGATACACCCATCAGCAAGCCAGGGAGAGAGGTCTCCCTGACCTTGCTGGTACCTTGATCTTGAACTATGAGAAAATAAATTTCTGTGCTTTAAGCCACCCATCCTGCATTATTTTTCTTATGACAGTCCAAGCAGGCTAATACAGCTCTTAAAAACAACTGGATAAAATGATCCTAGGAAATTCTTAATGGATGTTTTTTTAAAAAGCTTGTTTGGAAAAATCACATGCTGAACACCATGGGAGAGGCCATAACTATAATACTGAAGGCAGATTTTTTTTTTTTTCCAGTGACAGAAGCCTGTGGAACAGAGAAATCTTAGCAGACATGAATCTTCCAGGTTCTGTGTTATTTTTTGTTGTTCATGTGTTTTTCATTCTAGGCATTTCTTTCTTAATTTTAGTATCTTTTCAGTCCTCCGATATTTACCATATCATTGTGAAGGAGTGACCTCTGCAGAAGGGAGACAGAGCATCCTCTGGGTTTAGGTTTATCGCTGAGGTCTGCTCTGCTGTGGGAATGTGCATAGACAGCCAACTGCTAAACAGTCCATCAGGCAGCCCTACCGAGGCTAGCTCCTTTATCTGACCACACCTCCAATCTAGCATTCTCCTGTTGGGCAGGAGGAGAGACAAAGTCTTCTGTGGAGAGAGAAGCACCTCAATACTGAAAAAGGCAGTTTATCTAAAAGGTTCCCCACTATCATTCAAAGAAGCAAAAATAGGTTCCCATTGCCAGCCAATCTCACCCAGAGCCAGATCTTAGGGTCAGAAAGATGGAGGCTTTGATGCTTGTCTCTTTGTTTTCCTTTAGTTTCTTAATAAAAATTCCTCTAGAAAAACTAGAGCGTTTGTGTTTGAAAAAGTAGGAGAAGGATTTTTTGGTTAACCTTTTCAGGATAGATGTTAGAGCTGGACGTTCTGGAGTGGGAGTGGCTGGCAGTGGATTGGACAGATTGGAGGAAGCTGGAGAACAGTCAGGGCCAGTTTGGGGCAGAAACAGATGGCCATCTCATTTTAACCATCTAAATATTTCGGGCCATAGCTTTCATGTTTCTCATTATTATTTGATAAAGGACTAAGAGAAACTCAGTCATAATTCTTCACAGTTCTTACCTTTCCTGCATAATGGTGAATTCCAAAACTAAGTTCCATTCTTTTGGGCCTCCAGAAGTACTGCGATTTCAGGTTCCCTTCAAATTTTTCTATAGAGAAAAAAAAAAAAATTGAACTCTACTATCAAGCCATGTAAGGAGATCCTCAGAAAATACTGATTGACAGAATCATCTCTTTCACTGTAAAATGGACAATGTGCACTGAAAGGACAATTTTACATGGCTGACAAATGCAGATTTGAAGCAAAAATGGTGAACTCAAGATCATGACTGTAACCATTCTATTATGATTTAGAGCAACAACTCTTAAACCTTGGCAAGCAACAGAACCACCCCTGGAAGGCCTATTAAAACACAGAGTTTCTGACTTAGTAGGTCTGGGCATGGGGGGAATCCAAGAAGTCACATTTCTAGAAAGTTCTCAGGTGAGGCTGATGTTCCTGGTCTGGGAAACCACATATTTTTTTTTTTTTTAAGATCCCACTTCTTTATTTGACAGAGAGAGACGCAGCAAGAGAGGGAACACAAGCAGGGAGAGTGGGAGAGGGAGAAGCAGGCTTTCCGCTGAGCTCCATGTCCTAGAAGGGACATTTTAACCTCAAAATCAAGTGATTGCTACGAGACATTTAACCCCAGAACTTTGGGGTTGTTTTGCTTTCCATTAGTATTGTCCAATTAGAGGAGAGAATAAGCCAATGAGTGAGTCAGCAGGAAGCAACCTCACGGACTTAATGGTAAGAAACAGACTGTCACCCAAAATAAATGAGAGAAAATGTGAATCCAAATTTTCTGCAAATATTTATTATATATAATCAATATCTCCTACCATCAGGGAATATGGTATTTCTATATTAAAAATGAATTTTTTTACCTGAACAAGCTAAAGTTTTATTTTTTAATCTAAGGAATAAGACATTTAAAATTTTTACCATTTTAAATGATAATCATTTAAATATAGCATACATAACTTTGCCTTCTTAAACAGAAAAAAATGAATTCATTTATGTGTTCTTTGATGACTCAGGATTATTGTGAATATTTATTAATGTACTGTAATTTAGAAATTATTAAGGTACTGGAGGCTGTTTGCCTCTATTAGTCAAGTGATGAATTTATTTCCTTCTCATTAGCTATCTCTTTACAAATTCCAGAGCTGGCCTTGTGCCCCGCCCTCCAATTTCTAATTTGGAGCTGGGTAGTTCCTTTTTTGAGGAGGGGGGCTTGATAATTTCTAAGGTTATTTCTAACATAAGATCCTACGACTGAGGCTCTACCACTGTAAGGAAAAGTCCAATATCAGACTTGTTTAATTCATCACTAAATACTCCATCCTATTTTAAACATTCACTGGTCCAGATAGGAGACCTAGAGCCTCGTCTTTAAAGTTACATATGCAGGCTTTGTGATAGCTACTTTCTCCCAGATAATTGAAAACCTATTATTTTTAAGTCATTCAAAACATTAGATGACTACAACACAAAATGAGGCAGACATACTGGATTTGAAACTCACCCACAAGGGTCTGGTCTGTGGCCTTGGGAAATCGACTTTCTTCATCGAGTAGGGATAGCAAACCCATTGGCTTCTGCAGAAACATATCTAGGAGGGGCAGGTTATCTTCATATTCAATCACTCTGGCATTAACACCCTCATTTAGGTATTCATTCTGTAACAGGACATGACACATAGAAGAAATTCACTCAAAAATGTGTGAATTGTGACATCATGAATTTTTGATAGGTGGCTTGACGGTAATTACCCCAAACTCTCTTTTATGCATATTATAATAAATTGCTTCCTATGACATTGCCCTTAAACTGAGGCTATCATTTTATTTTTCTTTCCCTAAAACTGTTAGTTCGTTAAAGTCATCGGTGACTTGGTAATGATAAAATTTTCTAGTCTCTATACCAGAATTATAGACATCTGAGGTATTCAAAATACAAGAGAATGTGTTGGTAATGAGCAGTAATAAAGTTATGCTCCAGAATTTATAGAATATCAATTAGGTATATCTTAGAGTTATATTATCCCCAATTTAAACCTTTGATCTAGTTTCAGAATCAAATGGTTTCACTTACTTGTGCAGCATAAGGAATAGCATGGAGGACATTAGGAGAAGGAAAAGAAAAGTAAATTGGGGGAAATCAGAGGGGGAGATGAGCCATGAGAGACTATGGACTCCAAGAAACAAACTGAGGGTTTTGGAGGGGACGGGAGTGGGGGGGGTTGGGTGAGCCTGGTGCTGGGTATTAAGGAGGGCACATATTGCATGGAGCACTGGGTGTGATGCATAAACAATGAATTTTGGAACACTGACAAAATTAAATTAAATTAAAAAAAGAAGACAAACAAAAAAGAAAACAGATGAACATAGGGGAAGGGAAGGAAAAAATAAAAATAATAAAAATAAATAAAAAATAAAATAAGATAAAAACAGAGAGGGAGGTGAGCCACAAGAGACTCTTATCTATAAGGAACAAACTAAGGGTTGCTGGAGGGGCAGTGGGTGTGGGGGGTAATCAGGGAATATGCATTAAGGAGGGCACTTGATTTAACGAGCACTTGGTGTTAGATGCGACCAATGAACCTCTAAATTCTACCCCTGAAACTAAGAATACACTACATGTTAACTAACTTGAATACAAATAAAATCTAAGAATAGTGGAGTAAAAAAAAAAAAAAAGAAAAAAAAGAGAAATGGATCTCTCAAGAACATTTACCTAACTTCTCAGTCATGATGACATTTACATTGTCAATAGGGTGGACAACCGTGGGTCATAGGAATGACCAGTGGATTTAGAACCAAGAACCCATAGGTTCATATCCAGGCTCTGCCTCTTAACTGGCCATATAATTCTTTTGAAATTTTTTTTTACTCTATAATCTCCCACCGTCTCATTTATCGCATGGAGGAAACGATTTCCATCTAACAAAGTTTAAGTCTATCTGGTACATTAATAACCAGTTGTTATTGAGTATACCATAAGTTGCATAAAATAAAAAGGATAAATAACAACTAGTGTTAAGATCATGGGGCCCAGGCAACATGGGTATTGATGATCTATTTTACCAAAGGGGCATGAAGAATGGTGCTCTTGGGGTGCCTGGGTGGCTCAGTGGGTTAAAGCCTCTGCCTTCGGCTCAGGTCATGATCCCAGGGTCCTGGAATCGAGCCCTGCATCTGGCTTTCTGCTCAGCGGGGAGCCTGCTTCCCTTCCTCTCTCTCTGCCTGACTCTCTGCCTACTTGTGATCTCTGTCTGGCAAATAAATAAATAAAATCTTATATATATATAAAAAAAAAGAATGGTGCTGTTGCTCCGTTCCTATGACTCTTCCCCCACACTGGGCCCCTACCCCAGTGCCACAGGCTATTAGAGGACATGCATGACTCTGGGACGACTTGAAGTCATGCTCCCATGCAGGGCCTCATCAGTTCTCAGGTGATAAAGCAGCTATCACTGGGAAGTGTAGGAAATAACTCTTGCCTCGGGCAGAATATTCTTCACCATTCAGAACTATAAAATGACAGGGTATTTTCATTATTATTTTAACTTAAAAATTTTTTTTTAAGGAGGCTCTGTGCCAGGCCTGAACTCACAACCCAGAGACCAAGACCCGAACTGAGACCAAGAGTTGGACGCCAGCTGAATGAGCCACTCAGGGGCCCCTTCATTATTATTTTAATATAGTCTTTAATGCATTAAATATTTTCACTGAACATCCTATAATAAGGCATCGTGATGGGTGATAAAGAGATGCTTAACACAAACTCCCTGTCCTCAGGTGGATTTAAGATATAACTTGAGTGATAAGGTTAGTAAATAAATACTCAAATGCAAGATAACATACCATAGATAAATGATACTTACAATGTACTCTATGGAGTTCAGGGAAAGATAATCAATTTCCAGCAACTCTGTGGAGGAATTTAGCCAACGGCAGGTGGGGCACTTAATAAGCCTAAATTTCTAACCAGTATTTTGAAGACTTATGAAATTGAAATCTCATTTCAAGGGCATCACCAGGAAAAAGAAATATACATTTTTAAGACAAAAAAATTAATACGTAAAAATTTGGCAGTGCCCCTTGGCCTGAAAGGTAGACCACCTGAAAGCCATTTGGTTTATCCAGTACATCAAAATGGAAACAACGTCTGGAAGTTTCACAGCCTTTGCATTTGAAGGTAACCTTGAGAGCCATATGCAGACCCAGAATGACTTCGCTAGTAGACGTATCAGGCTGACAGCACATTACAGCTTAAATGACAACCGCGAAGTTCAGAAGAGGTTTTGTATGTTTTGTATAGAAAGCACACAAGGTTAAGGTCTCAATCAGTGCATTTGTCATTTCTATTTGCCTGTGTCAAAATCCATGGAATGCTTTTGTGGCAGGTCAGACAGGAAAGAGATGAGTAACGTGGGAAACAATGGGCTCCCCTTGAAGATACTTGTAAGTATTAGGGACTCCAGGCAAACCGACGGACAGAACATGCTGTTATGGAGGAGTTATAAAGCATTTTGAGTAAAATGAGCTTGCATAGAACAACAGATTATGTATTTTTGTAGAGGTTATGACCTCAAAATACTTAGTTGTTTTTAAGTGTAAGTGGAGCAACGAAGCTCTTAGAACTCTTAAGAAAGTCCTTTGCTATGCCCTGTATGTTAAAAATACATTTAGAGCAGAAGATAAGTGGAGTTATTAACTTCAGTAAAGGACTGCTTAGCATATATTATCTCTGCTCTGTTCGGATGGCCTGAGTTCCCTTTTGAGAAGGGCAGATGAATAATTATTTAAGTATAAATCAAGGAGGGGAGGGAAATCAGAAGACTTGGATGTTAAGGAGGCTTCATGCCTGAGTCGAAGGCTTGCTTGTTTTTCACTGAGTTTTCAGGGCGAGTTGGGAAAAGGACACGGTGGCAAGGAAGCCCGTGGAAGGTGGCCCCCACGCACAGCTCTGGCCTAGACACAGGGGTATAACGTGTCCCCATGGGAGAGATTCTCGATGTCGAAGTCGAGTCCTCCGCCTCACACAGCAGTGTGGAAGGGTGGCTCCCGTAGGCTGAGAGGCTGCAAGCTTCCACATGGCTTGGAAGGTGGATGGGGACGTTGGTTTCCACCCCTGGGCACAGACTGTCACTCAGTAGAGGATGGACTCTCACCTCCTCGGGAGACCTTCCCCCATGGTCCAGACTAATTCAGCAACACCCCGCCCCCCCGCCCCACCATTCATCAGCTGGTCACTCCCTATCTCTCTGCCACCATGTTTCACATTCTTTCACAGTATTTCTAGCATTTTTACTGGTTCATTATTCTCCTTCTCTTGTTAGAATGGGAACTCCAAGAGGACAAGCACTTTTACTTACCTCTCTGTTTTTGAGCTCAGTATCTAGGGAGACCTGAGCGTATTAAATAAATGACTTTGTGTTAGGGATTGAACTGCTCCCAGCGCCTGCCCCAGCCAAGTTCATATGTTGAAGCCTTCGTATCCAATGTGACTGCATTTGGAGATAGGGCTATTCAGGAAGTGATTAAGGTCAAATGAGGTCATAAGGGCATGGCTGGAATCCCATAGGATGGGTTTTCTTTTATCTTTAGCACAGATTAGCTGGTCAACTCGTGAATGTTTCACTGGCTCATGATGAGCATTTCTAGACTGATTTATTTTAAAGCTTTCAGCAAGGTGCTTTCTAATCAGCCCTGCACATATACTCCTATGTGTAGGCACTTGCTGCGTCCTCGCCAGCACTGATTATTCTCATTAAAGAACTTTTTCTGGTATTTTTGAGAGGTGAAAATGATAGCGCATTGTTGTAGTTGCATTTCTTTGACTGGATCTTAAACTACTTGAGAGGATGGTTTAGAGGGAAACAACATATGTCTATGCTTGGCACGTATTACACAATACCCATGGGCTACTATGGAGAGTGTTATTATTCTGGAACGGATAATCATGACCATAATTTAGCTTCTTCTTGGGCTTAGAGGTAACATCACACCACCATCCATTGTTGTGATATCGCCGAAGATTCAGGAAGGAAGAGATCAGAGGTAAAACAGAGGAAAAGCTAAGGGGCTTCACTGAGAACATCCTGATGTCAGGTTAACTTTTTAACTTTTGTTCTTTTGTCTCTTCCGCATTTGTTTCTACATGTTCTCCTGGTCATGGGTTAACTCTGTCTTCCTTAGGAGTTCATTCTGAAGATGCCTGGCTGGCTTAGTCAGCAGAGAATATGCCTCTTGATCTTGGAGTTATAAATTTGAGCCCCACAGTGGGTACAGTGTTGGAGGCCACGGCATGGTTGGAGTCGTGGATCAAACCAGGCCCTGACTTGTGTCTCCTTTAAAGTCCGGACGCCTTGATAAGGGGTTAACGACAGGAAAGTTGAGTAACACTGAGGAAGGGTCTGTGCTACGTGTATTGCTCTCGCCTACGTGACTTCCCACACGCTCTCCCTATAGAAGGGAACAATGTGGTCAGGATCATGAATTTTTAGTTGGTCCTTGTTGTTCCTGTACTTTCCATAATCCACTCCCTGGTTGATTGTAATTTCTTGTATCAATAGTAGCTAATGGCATTAGCCGTGATTACCTGGCATCACAAGATTTGTTTGTAGTTAATGTAAACTTGTTATAGGAACTTGCGGTTATCTGACTAGATACTG